AACGAGTTATTGATCTCGAAAATCTAGACACTGTTTCGTTATGCCACAATAGAAATTACAATGCGGGCCGGACAAGTACAAATTAATTGAAAAGGACTTAAAATTGGACTTTCAAATGAAGTTGATATGTACATATAGTAAGATTTAGCGAATCTTGGGATTTTTAAAGCAATCTTGGGATTTTTTAGACTTAATCTTGGGAATTTTCGTTTTTCCCGGTGGTCACGCTGGTATCCGTTCTTCCAAATATAATATCCAAATTTAGAAAAGGATACGGAAGCTCACCTGCTCTTGCAATTAAAAAAATAGCTGCGAGTTGCATACGTCAGGTCTCATTAACACTCAAGTGTTGCATGTGATTGCCTTTGTACTTTGGGTTGGTTCACATTAAAAATCGACTTTGATGACTGGCATAGGCCTAACGTTTCTTGTGTTTGCGTGTAAAAAACTTGTTTATAAGGACCCGCTTCTACTGCACAACTTTTACCACTTTTTTAAACTTAGCGAGTAAGCCTGATATGGAAAGGCTGATACCGGTGATCACGCCGACTGACCATTGCCGGGCCTAGGCCTAGAAAAAATTCCTTGCCCAGATTATTTCTCCTAGGCCCCAGCTGGCCTACCCATAGTGCCGAAACAATTCAGCGTTTGGGGAAATACTAGTTTCTGCATTACCTTTCTCTCTTTCTATTATAACTTATGTGAGTTTCATTTATAAATTAATGTGATTATGGAAATAAAAGGCTGGGCAAAGAAAAAAAAATTATCTTACTCTTTAACAATGACATATCTAGTGGGTGCACGGGTGGGGGGGGAACGCCCCTCCAAAAAATACTTGTCCCCCCCCCCCCCCCCCCCCCCCCAAAAAAAAATCACGGTAAAGTAGTTAAAAATCAACTAAAATCACTTTATTTTGCCAATTAGCACCCCTCAACTGATCATCGAGATACCCCCTTCACCTTTGCGCCACCCATCAGCTCCTCCATTTCAAGTGTGATGACCGTCGAGGAGAAGCTGATGACGCTTATTAAATATGACGAATGATTGGTCAGTTACGATTTATCGCCCACAAATAATTTTAAAATTTTAACTTGGTTGAATTTTGCAAATTTGTCAGCGACAACTTGGAAAGTCTTCCCGTTTGCTTCGGGAAAAACTACGCGATTGCTCTAGCGAAGTGTAGCGATTTCATGAAAAATAGACTATACTACATGGTGACCTTTAACATCAATTAATTCATTTCAGTTCTTTATCAACGCAAAAAAGTACAAAATAACGCCGTCGAGGTTAACCATCATGATAATCGCGTCTAGTTAGTTTACAGACTTTTCGATGAAAACCCAAATATAAACGTATTGTAATTAAACTTTTTACTTAATATGCATAGACACATCACTTAATGTGTGCGTTTGATTAGTCTGTAGCCAATCATAAAGTTATCATTTTGACTTCTTGATGTGATTGAATCTGTACTTTCAGTCCGATGACGTTTGACTTTTCCATAGGCAAGTTCAGCCAAGAATCGTATAGTATAACGGAAGAGTTGAATAAAAAGTATTAGTAGGTCTAGACAAAGTCCCTAATACTGCAGTACGGTAGTGGATGGAAGATGAAAATGGTACAGTATCTTTCTTGTAAAATAAGTTTGAATTACATTATTTAAAAAAAAGTGTGAACAAGTTTTCCGACAAAAGAATTGTAGCCACTATGTGGCGCTGTTTGAAGAACTTCAAAAACTTGCAGAAGAAACTAGAAATAGATAGGCCTACTAAGCAAAATTCAAAGGAAAGGTGAATTTATCGTTCATGTATGCCTATATTTATTGATGTAGTATCTTAGGCTTTTTAAGAACATTTTTAGTAAATCTGAAGGCCTATGTGGTACTAAATTGTTTGAGTTTCGATTTTAGTTGGCCATACACTTACATGTGACCTGACCTAATTTAAGAAGATGATTTTTGTTGATAAAATATTTTATTAAAACTTGTGAGCAGTTTACTGTGTTCCACAAAAGTAGCGCTAGTCTTACTATAATTTGTTTCCTTTGCACCATGTGTAAACCTACTTAGAGTACGTTAAGTTCTAATTCGTTATCTAGTTTGAATTTGTGGTCAGGGAACAGAACATCTGTTGTTTCATTTCAATCTGTTGTTTCGTTTCTTGTTGAAACCATAATAAACATGTATACCAACTTGTGACAGTAATTTGTTCTAAAAATATAATAATAATAATAATAATAATAATAATAATAATAATAATAATAACAATAATAATAATAATAATATTAATAATTTAAGAAGATGATTTTTGTTGATAAAATATTTTATTAAGACTTGTAAGCAGTTTACTGTGTTCCACAAAAGCAGCTCTATACTTATAATTTGTTTCCTTTGCACCATGTGTAAACCCACCGTAGAGTACCACCCATTTGTCCATTCTACACTCTTTCTCTTTCATTTACTATTTTGGCCCTAGTTCACATTCTTCCTTCACTTTTTTTAACCTTTCTCATATTCCTGGAGTACGGTATGTCGGCATCAGTGCCTTAGGGATCTTGGACGATAGACCCTTTTCAAATACAGTATATAGGCCTAGTTTTTCATGCACTTTTTATTAATTAATGCTTGTTATTTTTGCATGTATAATTAGTGCATGGAGGAAAGAAAGTTCCGTGGTTTTTGCTAATGATAGATAAAACCGCACGTATTCGTTATGAATAATTCGGAGGTGACAAAAATATAGGCCTATGCGTTTTCTATCTACTTCACAATATCTTCTTGTTTGTGTTTTTGATATTTTAGGGACTTTAGCATTTATATTATTATAATATTATAATAATTTGTTTTTCAAGAACCACTGGTAATTGGAATGGCAGTCGGCTTTGTTGTCTCTTCATTAATCAAAAAGAGTAATTAAGTCAGCCAATCAATTCAACATCATCGTTTACATTATTTAAAATTCAAATCCGTCACTGACGCATTAACCGGTGAATCTGTAATGGTTGTGGTGATGATGAAACAAAGCCTTCGTAATTGTTGTTGATGGAAATTTGTAAGAATTCTCGCGGGGGAAAGATTAGAAAGGAATGACATAAACAGAGGGAACTAGAGAGGTTAATCA